TTCCATCCATAAAAAAAAACCATAAAACGTCCACTGTTGAACATAGCCTTTATCTATTGGGCAGTTTTGTCAATAGTTGCCATGTTTGGCAGACGGGTTGCCAACCACAGTTAAAATTTGATTATATTTCAAGAGGAACACTGCTGCCCATCCCTTGACAATAAAATTCCCTTAGTAGCCTTTTATGACACCCATAAGAAAGAAGGGGACATAATAAATATAATTTACATTCAATAATAGATTAAGTTGATTATTATCTTGGGCAATCAGATGACAGGTACAAGGAGACAATGCAGAAATATTTTAAAAACAACATTGTAAAATATAAAATTCGCTTTTGAGAATATTTGCATAGGAATTAGATTGATGCATAGCAATATAAATATACAAAATAAAACAAATAATCATCATATTCATCATCATCACCTCAGCCATTACCTGTTCACTGTTGAACATAGGCCTTCCCTATAGACTACCATAATATGTGCATCCAACAACGAATGCAATAATAATGATTAAATTTTAACATAACAGCAATTTCTAGCTAAATCATCATCATCACCATGATTTTAGGTAAGTGGACCACTTTGGGAATATTCACCTTTATAAATTAAAAAAAGGATGAAAAATTTATGATACTGTTAAAAAAAATATCATCATTGTTCTTTTTCAGTAATCAATTAATTAATTAATCTTGTTTAATTAATCAAATAAATTAATCCATTAATTTTGTTAATATTCCTAGATTTTTTTTTAATAAACCACCACATTTGTGTAATAATTGATACAGTCATCCTGAGTCATCCACTATGGTATCCCATGTGATCATTAGTTAAACTACCAAAAGGTAACAAACACACTTTCATATTTGTCATATTAGTGTAGGCCAAAACAAATCGAATAGCATATACATAAATATATAATATAAAAACATTCGCAACAATGCACATAGCTAATATATTTATGTTTTTATTTCTAAGTTAGTGTAGATTAAGAAATATATGACATATTTTTTTTTCTGTATTGGCAACATACACTTTTACTTCAGGTAGACTATAGATATTTCCATAAAAATATTATGTTTGTTTGACACCTCAGAGATATTGAAATATTATATCTTATCAATAAATCAATTACAAGTCAATGTAATAAATGTAAACAAAATATTTGTATTGAATAAATAAAACCTAGTTACATCCTTAGATTAGTATTTGACAAAAATAACCATTAAATTAATTCTATTACTACCACACTGAGCAAAAACTTAATTACATACTAAAAAGTGTTAAATAAAGCAGACAGCTTTAATTAACAAGCCACATAATTGATGAATTATACTTAAAATATTAAATATGTATATATCAATATACAATATTGATATTTTTTTAATCACATACCTGCTATTGCAATATAAATGTTCGCAGGAACAGATTGTTTTCGTAGTATACTCTCCACAAATATTTGTATCACAATCGCACTTTTGCACATAAATATTACCAAGTTAATTTTAACAACTATCGAATAATTTTTTTTTTTATGAATCTACCGCTTAAACCGGTAAACAGTTCCGAACCAGCAGTACAAACAAGGGAGTCGACCGTCTCTGAGAATGTACATAGCAGGTCTGACTTATCCCGCACTTTGTCTACGCGGTAATGCCGCGGGGGTCTACCAATATCAAACAACACATAAAATGAGATACCACATTATGCGAACGCATTCGCTGTGCCTCCAATACTTCGCTTACACTATTGAATGCAATATTTTTATTACCATTTAGTGGTGCAAATAACAAAAATATTGCTAACACTCCGAGGCCACCCCGGAGCAATGACATCAATCAATAAAAATGCAAACTCCGCGACGGGTTATTATGCAACTAATGAACTTTAACCTTACCCATACTGTGCTGATAAATCACGTTTCACGTATTTTCGTTTTGTACACTATATTGTATAAAATTTATGATATAAATTTTACAATCAACCCACGCCAGGATACATCCACAAAACCCACGCCGTCTGTGTTGCCATAAATTCCCGGCTCAAGAAATAAATAAATATGTTGACAAGATGCAATATTTTGTGTCATTTAATTTTTCACTATAAAAGGTTAATATTTCATAAACTAAATTTATTATTAATGCTCTAAAGATACTATATATAGTGCACTAACTTACTTTTAGTGCAACATATATTAGTTCATTAAGTCATTATAATAAAGGATATCTTTGTCTAACAAGCATTTGCGTGATACCTCACATGAATTACTATAGCATCACACCAAAGATATTCCTTCATACTTAAGCTTCATACATATAAAAAATATGTTAATTCTTTTTTGACATCGCAAATCAATTATGATATAGATTACCTACCTTTGTAGATAGATTATCAAATGTCAAAATAACTTCAAACTTGGCGTCAAATAAAACGCGCCATTTTTTCAGTGTTGTAAGTAATTGGTTTAAAAATTCCCAAATCAAATATTTTAATCAAATATCTACAAAAATTAATTTTAAATATATATATTTATATCTACGTGCTATAAATAATAAGAAAGAGTAATTAAAAATTTTAAAAATTATTTAACGATAAAAAATTTCCGTGAGATCCTTGCCAGCTGGTAGGGTGCCTAGGATACTTGCTGCATCAAATAGATATTTTAATTTTAATTGGTAACTATTTCTACTGACATTATTTATTATATATCTCTACCTATAATATATAAAGTTGCAATTCATTTCACTGATTGACAAAATTGTATATCCGAAGGGAGTTGAGATAAATCGAAAAGATGTAAGGACTTAAAGTGGACTTTTCAAGGTGCTTGACTACAGACTATGATATGTAATAGTAATTTTAGTTCCTAAATTGCTCTTCAAAGACATCACGAGCGGTTATTCACTTATCACTTAAATATTTAATGTCAATATAGAAAAGTTAAAGTGGGTTAATAATTAATTATTTATATCTGGCAACATTGAATATAATTATCAAATTCATCCATGACGTTCTGTGTTGCCAGATTACACGATTTTACCTTTTAGGTTATCTTGAAAAATATGAAGGCGATCAAAAGTTTATATATATATATATATATATATATATATATATATATATATATATATATATATATATATATATATATATATATATATATATATATATATATATATATATATATATGCAAGAACAATGTTAGCACATTATAACGAATTCATTGCCAATATTGGTTTCTAGGAAAATCGTTACTGTTAGCTGTGGCGCCATTCATCCTATTTAAAATAATAAATACGAAAGTATGCATTATAGCAATAGATATATAAATAAAAATTTATATATAAGAGATAAATTTAATAGAGATTATAATCCTAACTTAGCACGTAGAAATTTATGTATTGATTCACGTAGTCGCGAATACAATTAATTGCTAATAATAATTACTTATAATCCTTCCTCCCCTTCCAATCTTTGTTAATAAAAATATCAATATCTGTTGTTACGCGCTATCGGTATACGCTGGCGTAGCACCAGATCTTTCTCTGGTGCCCCGCTAGCTACCAGTGATGATAGGTGAGGATGAAAGTAAGTCAGTTAGCCTATTGTGACGAATTCCACTAGAATTAATAATCGTATCTCGTCCAGACAAACCTATTCAATTTTTATTTTTATATAAAATAATAAATTAATATGATGGTCGAAGATAAGGTTAAGCTGGCATCCAAAATACTCGATATGCTTAATAAAGTGAAGCGTTACTTCACGCTAGATTAACGACTAATGCTCTACAAATCGCAAATCCGGCCCCACATGGAGTATTGCTGTCACTTATGGACGGGAGCACCTAGATACCAGCTTGAACCTTAGACTTACCCTTCGACTTAGTGCAACGCCGAGCTGTGAGAATTGTTAATGATTCCAGGCTTACTTACTTACTTAAGCGGTATTAAACCCTTAAGTTTTAGGAGAAATTTTAACTCACTCTATGTGTTCTACCACTTGAACAACAGATTGTGCTCAGAGAAATTGTTCAATATGATGCCTACGGCCACTTTCTACCATCGTACGGTTCTCCATCGACGGAGAGTTCGCCCTCGTAGCGTACAGCCTGGATGGTCGCATACAACGAGGTTTCAGAGATGGTTACTCTCACGAACACTCAGGTTATGGAATGAGCTCCCTGCCGAGGTTTTTCCACGAAATTACAGCTTGGAGTTCTTCAAGAGAGGGGTAAAGAGAGATTTCTTCAGAGTCGGCCCCGCACGCGTAATACCTTTGATATTGCAAGCGTTCATAGCTACGGTAACCGTTTACTATCAGGTGGGCTGTATGTTTATTTGTCACTTTAGTGTTATATAAAAAAATGGTCTCATAAATAATTTATAAAAATCTGTTCAGTATTTAATTTTTAAACCAAATAACTAGTTTTGTTACAATTAAAATTGTTTTTTTGTAGAACATAATCTCAAGTTATTTACATGCGGCATGTTACAAGCGACGGTGGGGTAGAATTGGGCAATTTTAGTTTTTTTGTAGGTCAGTAAGCCCATCGAGACGAATTCAACAAGAATTGTTCACGATGGCTTCCAGGGGGAACCACGTGGAGCTCAACCTAATATTGCTAGCAATGGGGCTGTCAAACTCTATTGCTAACAATCCCTTTCCTCCCCGGCGATTTTAGGTTATATTGCAATAAAAATGTATGAAACTTTATGCCACTTGGACTTGGCACTTTTCGGTTAATTTAATATAGCAATACTGATGTCGTCTTGAAACATTGTGTTTTGTTCCTGCGAATGTAGTGGAATCAGACGCGCAAAATGCAATTTTTTTATTTTTTGCATTTTTTGTTTAAACATACATACTAAATTATTTTGGACATCTCAGGTGAGTAATTGTTACTTATATTTTTCTAGATTATTATTAATGTTTTGCTTTTTCTTATATAATTTTTTTATTTATTTATATAGATTACTAGCATACAGATTCATTTCTTTCATTGGTGTTAAATAATTATATAGAGTATTTACTTTTTTCGGGATTGTCGTACAATATCAATTGTGTGCCATGTGCTTGATTTGACCTTGGCAAAAAGGGAAGGTCAAAATTTGTGTTTATGTAACTTGGCGCTGCATCAGAGCATTGGATCAGTCGGTATTAGTGTGATCGGGTCGGTTGTCCTTTTCCCTTTTTTTCTGTAGTGGGAGAGCACGGCTACGATCTTATCATGTCTTGTTTACCACGCATGTTTACTATTGTAGGTACCTACCTACATTTAAAATACGAGTAACCATTAGTAAAGTTATTATTATTATAATTCTCGCGTCCGTGTGTCCGATACGTTTATTGCTCGCACAGTTCTCTTCAGTTATTTTGATTAAGTGCATTCAACATTTGTGCAGGTAAGTTTTTAATAAATTTTTCATTACACTTTCTTTCATACAATGATAAATATTAATGTGGGTACTTTTATATTTTGTTAATTAATTAAGTGAACCCGATGTTAACTTAATATTAACATGTTGTGAATTTATTAGATTTACATATCATGTTACATTTTGTAATATCATATTTTTAGGACATTACATATATATCTCAGCTTGACATTCACAAATATAACAAAAGAATTAGTCACATAGGTGCTGCCATTTTGAAGTGATTTGCTTACTTACATACCTTTAGCAATTAATTTTTACTTGTATAGAATTTTTTTTTTTTAATAATCTAAGAAACTTTACTGTTTTAATAAACATTTTAGTTTACACATTTAATGTACCCATAATGCTATAATATTTATAAAATAAATGTAAGTAAGCTTATTACTATAGAACTTATAATTTGCATAAATAAATATATAATAGGTATTATATTTTGTATTTATTATGCAAATGTTTTGATTTTGAATCGCAATGCAGTCCCAGTATAGAATAGGCCATCCTTTTCTTAACTGTGGATGTCATAAGAGATAGTTAATGGTTGAGGGATGGACAGCATCATCCCTCTTAAAACATCACCGAAAGCTTAAATGCAGTTGCCAGTTTACCTGCTTAACATAGTAACTACTGTCAACTCCCCCCCCCACTCCCCCCTATGTTCTGCAGTGGACAGTTAATAGTTATTATGATGTATGATAAACTATTTTGAGTATACCTCTTAAGTACTTTTATCTAGAGGTATTTCGAAATAATGTTATTAGAATAATTTAAAAGTAGGAGCCACTCGGTGGCCTCCTTGCTTATCTTAAAAGTACACTAATTTGAAGTGCTGAATTGACACATAATTTATTTATTAGTTTATATTTGGAAGTTTGATGCTATACTGAATGTGCATTTTTTAATATGGATAGCTGTAAGGACAGAGGAAGACATGAAAGGACATGGATGTAGTGTGAAAGATGAATTGCCAAGGGGAGAGTGAATACTGAATTTGAATAGAGAAGGATGGAAGAAAAACAAAAAAATGTTATGCCAACCACAGATAAATAATTGGGATGTGTGTAGGAATATTATGACTGAGTAATTATTTTTTCTGGTACAATATTACATACTTTTTCATAAAAATATTTGATTGATCTTTTCTTTAATTTGATAAACATCATTGGTATGTTTTTATTACAAAAATAATAGTTAAAAATGTGCAAATTGCTAGGAAAAAAGGTTTTGTTTTATTTTTTCTTGTAGGCTGTTTATTTTTAGTACTTTTTATTCTAAAATGAAAAGACATTTGATATTATCTTTTTATTTATGTTTTATGTAGTATGTTTTTCTATGTGTGAAGAATAACACAGAAAAACATGTCTTTTGCTCATCATTATAGTTATTAAAGTTACAGGTATTTACTGTTATGGTAAATACCACCATGACAGCATCAAAAGTTCCATTGTTTATTACCTACCCCCTATAAGTCTGCTAGTCTGTTTCAATATAAATTAATGAAAAGCAAGTAATAAATTGACTCAACCATAACACAGTCTTCTAATGTCCAATAGTTAGTACAAATAAAAATAATTGATTAATTTTTTAATGTTTCGATTAATTTGTGTTAATTTAAACAGAAGTCACCTTTTCATTAAGTTATACTGAAATGAACTAATAGGTAAGGGTCGAATGTGCATCACCTCAGCACAATGCGTTAGACAGTAGGTAATAATTACTACAATTACTTGGAAACTAATGGATTTATTATCTATAAAGTAAACAGTAGTATTATCAGTTATTTGGTTGTTCTATTGTAATATAAATTATTTCTATTCATTAACTAATATTACCTATTAATACACATTGAGTCACGTTGATCAATTTGTAAACATATACATTACGGAACTGATTAGAATTGATTTAAACATAATATATGCAATAAAGATAAAAAAGATACTTATTATACTTTTCTGTCTCTCATTCTCTCTTACACTCACATTCCCACACACCCACATTCTCTCAAACGCATACTTGCTCTCCCACACTCGAATTCTCTTTCTCACTCATAATATCTCTCACACTCATACTCTCTCTCTCTCATTCATACTCTCTCCCACACTCACACTCACATACTCACATTATCACGCTCACAGTTTTTACTCACAGTCTCTTACACTCACACACACACTTGCACTCTCACTCTCCCTCACACTTACACACTCTCACACACCCATTTTCTCTCACGCTCACATACTCTCACACACTTCCTCACACTTGCACATTTACACTCCCTTACACCTACTCACACTCTCTCCCTCACTCACACGTACACTCTCACACTCAACTTACATACTTACACGCTCACACTCTCATACTCACATTTTCTTTCACACTCCCTCACATTTCCACATTCACACTCTTACACTCACATTCATACTTTCTCTCACACTCACACTAATACAGTCACACTCTCACACACTCACACTCTCATACTCACACTTTCTCACATACACACTCTTTCATACTCTCTTATATTCACACCCTCACACTCACACTCCCTCACACTTAGGTACATGCTCACACTCTCACACTTCACACTCCCTCACACTTACATTTTCTCTCACGCTCACACACTTCTTCACACTTACACATTCACACTCCCTTACACCCACTCACACTCTCTCCCACACTCGCACTCTTACACGTACACTCTCACACATTTATACACTCTCACACAATCGCATACTCTCTCTCTCTCTCTCTCTCTATATGCGTGTGCACTTTTTTATGTCTGTTGCAAATCTACACCACCATACTAATCTTGTAGTTAACTTACGATTACCGTTTTTTGTTAATATTAGTCGATCAAAATACGGGTAGAATCGAAGTCGATGACAATCTTATTATAATATTATTTCTTTTATAATCAGGTTTGACTATGTACATGTAAATTTCTCTTTATATTATTCCAATCGGGCCTTTCGTAAGAAAAATGGTGCGGTGTGAGTGACCTAATACTTAGTATTATTGTTATCTTCTATTGGTCAAATACGATTCCAGTTTATAATACAAATTTATCTACACGTGAGAAGCCGGGTCGCTAGTGTTAAATATACTCTATGTCGAAATTCATTTCGACACTTCATATATCGAAATTGCTTATGTATATATACTTTTGGTACTTCGTTACAAATACATATATGTATATCATTCAGTGCGGTGATATAGTCCAGGTAATTTATTTTTTTGAAGCACACAACATGTATATAGCCTTTAACTGTATACTATTGAACATAAGCCTACACTTTAGGGGGTTTTGCCAGTAGTTTACCACGCTTGGCAGGCGGGTTGGCGGGCGCAGTTAGGCTTTGGAGATGTTTTAACAGGGACGCTGCTGCCCATCCCTCGCCCTCCCTTAGTGGCCTTTTAGGATACCTACGAAAAAGGAAGCGGTGGCCTATTCTATGCCGGGAACACACAGTATGCTGTTTGCAAACGCTGATTGAAGGAGTGTATTGTCGATGAGCTCCCTAAGTTATGGATCCTTGTATAATACACCCATAATAAAAAAAATCAGTGGACAGGTAACGGATGATGGGAAACGATGATTAATGCTGATCGATTTTGTATTTCGCTTTTTATCTGACATTAGGTTTGTTTTGTTGCAGTCAAAAATCAGACATGAGTAAGCTGTGCAGACAAGTATCTATCGAGTCTCCGGGTCCCACACTCAACGAATGCGTATTTAGTTTCGATGTTCCTGTTCCCGACGTGCCATTGTATGGCGCCAGGATCAGAGTAGCGTACGCTGGGGCCTGTTACCGCTCGAACAAGGCTCGCTCGGCCTCAATATGTAGCACGTCTTCGATTTCATCTATCGGCAGCTTATCGGCTGAGTTGGAAAGCGTCAGTTTCCAGGTATCGACGCCAGCGCACATCGGACTGCGGGATGGCGCTTTGTTCCCAGGGTACGAGGTCGCCGGCGTGGTAGACGCAATTGGTGCCGCCGCGGAACATGTCGACAACATCACCGTAGGTTCCAGAATAGTGATATATCCCTATGAGGGGGTGCCTCACGGGTATGCGGACTATATAGTCGTGCCGGATATTAAATACCTGGTACCCGTTCCGGAGCAATTGTTGTTGAGCGTGGCTGCCATGTTGCCGACTGGGGCCCTATTGGCTATGAATATAGCGCAGACGGCCAACGATTGCTTGGAGAGAATTTTGGAGGGCCCAAATCCTAAGCAGAAGGCGACGGTGTTGATTGTCGGCACTGGTGGACTTGCACTATGGGCGCTCCGCATCGCTACCCATTATTTCAAGGGCACTACGTACGAGCATCGCATAAACGTTTCCGTAGCAACATTGAAGGACGAGGGCTTCGTCCTGGCAAAGGAGTGGGACAAGTAAGTTTTAAAAATAATATTATTGTATTGATTTTTTTAAAGGTTCATTGGAAACAAGCTGAGAGTTTACCTGATGGAAAATGGTGGCCGCCTCTTATAGTCATCAACAGCGCTATAAATACTGAGATGCTTATGGTACTCCACATGCGTTGTCTTCCCTGAATATTAACATTATCATCTTGAATCGTCGGATTTAAATTAAATGTACCCGAATGATTTTCGACCCTGGAAAATGGAATGTTACTCCATTTTCAAACTTTGCTACTACACCAACTTTAATATTCACTTCACACACGTTATCATACAAAGTAATTGTAGTTCGAGCTATAAATACAGTTGATATTTGTAATGGATAGCCAATTTTCTAACATCAGCGAAATTTGGCATCTGTTTGGCAAATGAAATAGCGCATCGGCGAAATGAGATTTATGTCGAGTGCACATTCACAACGGAAACAATTGAATCATTCTCTTGTTACGTTATTAAACCTTGTGCTAATGACATAAAGTTTACTTTGATCTGACACTGTTTTGACATGTGTCTCCGCCACTTAGCGGCTGAGTTTGCATGGCTGTGTTCGATTTATAGAATGACAAATATTTAAATGACTGTGTTCGGGTACGTAGATATAATACAATGGTTTTTAAGAACTAAGTGTGCTTTTTTTTTTAAACGTATGTCAATGGAATGGTAATCCCGCCTGCGCTAACAGTGTAGGCAGGTGAGACACCAGTGAGGGATGATAGGTGAACAGTTAGCTCATCGTGACGAATTGGCCTGGAATTCAGCACGTTGGTTTCCAGGGGAGACGACATGGAGGTTGACCTGGTTGGGTATATTGCTATAGTAATGAAGCGTTATTCTCCATTACTAACAATCCCTTCCCCCCATCTCTCAATTAAGGGTGCTGTGAATGTCTATGTTCATTCGATTTTCATAGCACTGTTCAAGTTTATAGGCGTCATTCATCAAGTCGACCATCACTAGTTGCTTTTTTTTTAATGGATAATGGAATGGCAACTCCGCCTACGCTATGATGATGAAATGCATGATGAAAGCAGGTCAGTTAGCCGTGACGACTGCTACAAGTATGCGAGCTGACAGAGCTTGTTAGATATGGGGGCTTTAATCCCCATTACTACCAAACCCTTTTCCCCCCTACTAGTTGCTAGTTTCCATATAAAAAAAAACCAGTATCGTATGTCTTTATATACTAACACTACTGGATGGGCAGCGTGGCAACTCCTGGCAAGAGCTCCCTATTGTTCAACAATGGACAGTTCATGGCTTATGTAATACTAAAAATACAAATGTTTGCTTGCAATAAGTGCATCAATTTGCAAGCTTTTTTGAACTTTATGTCCTAACGTTTAAGTTCACTTTCGATAGCGTCAACGTGGTACAGTGGAGCGAGGATTTGTACGAGAAACAGCTGATTGAACGGACCATGGACGCGTGCGGCGGGCCCGTGGACATCGTGATGAACTTCGGGACCACCTCGCGTTCGCTGCACCGCTCTATGCAGTGCCTCGCACCGGTAAGTATTCTTTGATCATGTTTAGAATAATAATATTATTTATTTCTTATAAGCCATTCTTAGTTTAATGTAGTTATATATACTCTTTATTGTTTCTTCCAAAAGATTACAATAGTAGACTTATTATAAATACAAACAATTACAAGGACAATGGACGGCCATATCGCTAAGGGTGATTTCTTTCAGACGACCTTTGGATGGAGAGATGTAATTAAAAACAGTTTGACCTGAGGCACGAAACTCTGTTCGTGTTTTAAAATACTTACATAGATATGTAAACGTACAATAATGTGAATATATAAATGTATAATTTTAATTTACTGATACTGAAATAAATTCATATAAATATTTATACACACATGTATAAATATTGATTTATTTATAGATAGTTGGTCTTATATAACACAAATGTGGCAATAAAGTTACAGGGTGTGGAAGCATAACACCATAGTTCTCAAGAATGGCAACACGTGAGACCCCATGGTGTTTATGTATCACAGTGTATTTATGATATATAGCGCTCTTCATATCTATAGCTTACAGTTATAACTTGCTATTAGGTAGGCTGTCAGCTTGTTTGCCATTCTAAGTGTTAAAAAAATAATTGTCAAACAGGGTGGCATGGTGCTGGTCACTGAGAATATTGGTGATAAGCTGCTGCCGAAGTTTGCCAGGAAAGCCGAAGATCTTAAAGTGAGCATCGTCGTGGTACCAATCGGTTCCATTGAGCAACTCAGGAACCTCCTCGATTTGGTGGCGAATGTGCAAGTAAGTGCTTCATCTTTATTCATCTTTCGCCGTCGACAGGGAATTCATCCTCGCATGCTTGGACCTAAATGCTCGTGTGCAGTGCGGTTGCAAAATAGTTTCCATCCCCGAACGCTAAGGTTATGCGATGAGTTCCCTGCCGAGGGTTTCCTTAGACATTAGAATATGAGATATCAAAAAGAGGATAGATTTTTCAGGGTCAGCAAAGCGCACGTGATATCCTTAGTGTTGTAAGCGTCCATAGACTACCGTGATCGTTTACAAACAAACGGCCTGTATGTATGCTTGTCACCTTCGTAGTACAAGAAAAAGTTAATTAACAGGATCCATTCCTTAAAACTAGTGTTAGTTTTCATTAATAGGGTTACAGATTTTTTTCCTAGAATTTTTTTTTCTAGACAATTTTACTAGATTTATTTTTAAATTACCAAAAAATTAAAAAAAAAAGTAATTAAAATTCTTAAAAAAAAAAAAGAATAACCTGTGTCTGTTTCAATGGTACTATATTATAGTAGATGTATACATCTTGTATTATGTAGGCCCTTATAGGCCAAATAATGTATTTTCTTGGCTCCTATTTCATTAATTAATATAAAGAGAATCTGGGGTACAAGTTTGTATGGATGTGAGACGTGGACACTAAATCAGAAAGAAACATATATAATTAAAACCTTGGAAATATAGTGCTGGAAAAGGAAAGAATAGCTGGAAAGACCGAATTAGTAAAGAGGAGCTCCTACTTAGGGTTAAAGAAAAGAGACAAATTATAAAAACTGTTGAGATCAGAAGAGAGAAAATATTAAGACACTTGCTACGACACGACGAACTTATGAACATTATAATAGAAGGTAACATAGAAGGAAGGAGGGGAAGAGGGATACCCATCTAATATTAATTTTATTATGGAAGCACTTCCAGTATGTGGAATGTCTAGTGATCTTAAATCAGTGTAGTTATATATCTGTGTTTAGGTCGCTATGGTAACTACATGTTCGTATATAGTTGTTGATTGTTACATAAAATATATAATTCTTGGCTGATTCTCTTTATTCTCTTTAATATGGTAGCAGAGCGATCCCAACCTCGGTAAATAGATAGTTTGTAAAGAACAAAGGTTCGGAGAGAATGTAAACATGTCTACAAATGTAAAACTCGACATTCTACCGTTCGACGGAACTAACTGGACCACTTGGAAATTTCAAGTGTTGATGCTGTTGAGAACACACGCCGGAGCCTTGGAAACGGTTCAAGGGACACTCACAAAAGCAACACATCCAAGTACCACTGCCACACCGGGAGCTATATCGACTTATAAAGCAGAGTACGATACTTTTGAGCGAATCAATAGCACTGCATTTTTACTACTCACCACCAATATGACAGAGAAAATGCTCGCCAAAGTTACGTGTTTTACTACCGCTAAAGAAGCTTGGGATGAACTGAACCGGCTTTATGAAAGAGTATCACAAGATCGCTTTTATTATGTCTGCATACAATTCTTTGGATACAAGCTTGATCCTACTTACGATATGGGGACACACTTGACTACAGCAAAGAATTTATGGCATGAAGTAAATCTGATCTTAATGAAACAAGGCAAGACCGAACTACCAGAGATGTTATTGATATGTAAAATTATGGATTCACTTCCTGAGGAGTACTTCAATTTCAAATCTAGTTGGGCCTTGATGTCAGTGAATGATCATACGATAGAGAACTTGACTACTCAGCTGGGCGCATATGAAAGGTCTTTAAAGAAAAATATAGACGAAGGTGAAAGTAGCAATGAACTTCTTATGGTACGAGGTGAGAAACGTAATGAAAAGCAAAGTAAGAAGAAAAAGTTCAAATGCAACTATTGTGGAGAAGGGTTTCACAAAGTCAGGTCATGTCAAAAGTGGATTGCGGATGGTAGACCTCCAAAACCTCAAAAGCAATCTACGAATGCAGTAATGTCGACAGGTCTAGCTCTAGCTTGCAATGATAAAAATCTTCATAAAGAATCATGGTGCGTAGATAACGGCGCGACAAATCACGTAACTAATAGGAGAGATGTATTCCAGTCTTTCGAGTACTTTCATTATCCTCATACAATTACGACTACTAACGGGAACGGAATTGAAGCCATTGGCGAAGGTTCTATCCAACTTCAAGCTGATATAAATGGACAAAAACAGTTGATAACATTGACTAATGTATGGTATGTACCAAGTATACAACGAAACTTGTTCTCTGTACTAACTGCGCAAGATGTGCCTGAAAATAGTCTTTTGCAATCAACTGCTCGATCATGTCGTATGAAGAATAATGGTAAAGTTATTTTAGTTGTAAATCGTGAGGAGCATGGTAGTTTATATAAATTAAATGTAAAACTATTAATGCCTAAAAATGAAGCAAACCAGTTATCGACGCTACAGAATCTTCAGCTGTATCATGAACGCTTAGGGCACCAAAATTGTCGTCATGTAGCTAAATATATACAAAAAAAGCTTGGAATAAGGCTAGATTCCAGTTCTGCTGACATTTGTGAAGGCTGTATCTTCGGTAAGAGTCACAGAAAGAAGTTCGGAAAAAGACCTAAAGCTACCAAACCTGGAGAGCTAATTGTCACAGACGTATGTGGACCATTTTCTTATTCAATTTCACAATTTAAATATTATGTTCTGTTTAAAGATCATTACTCGAAATATAGTTGGATCTACTTTTTGAGACACAAGTCAAAAGTACACGCTCGCTTGAAGGAATTTCTAGCTGAGGTTAATACTTCTGGACACGTCACGTACGTAATACTTTGAAAGAATTTGGAATAAAGCAAATGTTGACAATGCCATATACTCCTGAACAAAATGATTCTGCTGAAAGAGAGAATCGTACAGTTGTGGAGATGACAAGAGCACTCATGCATGCTCATAATGGGATATCAAAAGGTTTATGGGCTGAAATATCTAAAGCTGCAGTTTATATACTCAATAGAATGGGACCAACTCCAGTAGATGGAAAGTCACCGCATAAACTATGGTATAATAAAAAGCCAAAAATAAATCATCTCAGAATTATAGGATGCAATTGCTATGTACATATTCCAAAACAGAAAAGATCGAAAAAGTTAGAGAGTAAAGTCGAGAAAGGAATACTTATTGGGTATGATGGAGATGAAGGATATCGAGTTTATGATGTAAAAAATCTGAAATTGATAAGATCACGTGATGTAGTATTGGATGAGAAATCTTTACTAGAAAAACGCAAGATTGACAAACCTCCAGAAAAACCTAATGTAGACCCTGTAGGAAATAAAACATATTTACTACCAATACCTTCTGCAAATTGTGGAACTGATGATGATTCTCATTTAAATTCACATATAGAGACAAATGGTAGGGATGAAAATATTGAATCGTTTAGAAAAGATAATGAAAAGGACGTAAATGAAATAGAAGCAACGATGGGGCGACAGCTTCGTGATCGTAGCCAGATTAAACCTCCTGAGAGATTCAATTTTGAGGAATTTATTAACGAAGCTATATCTGTTGATCTTGCTGAACCATCTTCATACCAAGAAGTCTTAAATAGTCCTGAAAAGGATAAGTGGATTGAGGCAATAAATAAAGAAATAAATTCATTGCATGAAAATCAGACATGGGAACTGACAAATTTGCCAAAGAATAGAAAAGCACTACAATGCAAATGGATATTTAAAATTAAAAGAAATCCTGGCGGTACTGTGGATAAGTACAAAGCACGTTTAGTTGTTGTTGGCTATACACAAAGGAAAGGAATAGACTACAATAACACATTTAGTTCTGTTGATAAAATGAGCACTATAAATATAATAGGACTCTACTATTAAGTATTGCCACAAACGAAGGATTAACGCTAAAACAGTTCGATGTCACTACAGCGTTTTTATATGGCACTGTAAAAGAGCAGCTGTTTATATATCAATCTGATGGCTACGATGATGGTACCGGTCGTAAATGCAAACTTAAAAGAAGCTTATATGGACTAAAACAGGCACCTAAATGCTGGAACGAGTGTATTCATGACTTTCTTATGGAGTCCGGTTTTATTCAGAGTGATGCAGATCCTTGTCTTTATGTAAGAGAACTTTTCCTTCAGGAAAGAAGATACTGCTCGGACTATATGTGGACGATGGATTAATAGCTGCATCAGATGAGATAGTAACAGAAAATTTCATTGAAAATGAATTAAAAAGACGTTTCAAAATAACAACTAAGGTGCCGTCCTATTTTCTTGGGTTAGAAATTGAGAGATACGGTGACAGTACTATAAAAATACACCAAGCTGCATTCACTAAAAAGCTATTAGAAAAATGTGGAATGAGTGATAGCAAGGTTGTTGGAACTCCCATAATTAAAGATTCTGAAAAAAGAATAGACGAAGAAGAAGACAATCAAATCAGTTTTCCTTACCGACAAATTTTTGAATCTCTGGCCTATTTGATGGTTGGCACTAAGCCGGATATTGCATATGCAGTTGGAGTAGTGTCGAGAAATTTAGATGGACATAAGAATAAGAGAAATATTCAACAAGTAAAAAGAATACTAAGGTATCTTAAGGGAACTATTGATGTTGGCTTACAATACAAGAAAAATGAAAAACGACTCATATGCTATAGCGATGCTGATCATGGTGGCGATAATACTAGTGGCTGCTCTACAAGCGGAATGCTGTGCTTGTTCGGCGGTATCCTGGCGAAGTACAAAGCAGACAATGATAGCTCTCTCATCCACTGAGGCAGAGGTAGTAGCTGCTAGTGAAGTATGCCGTGAGGTAGTTTGGCTCAAAAGATTATTAAAAATTAAAAATGAATCTTAATATGCCTACTCTACGCATTGAGTCTACAATCAAATTAGTACATAATCCATCATATGAACTACACCATAAAGCAAAACATATATTGAAAGAGAAGTCACTAGAACAAGTACCAACTGAAGAACATTTTGCCGATATTCTTACGAAGCCTGTTTACAAGCCAATGCTAATAAAGCTAGGTAATGAGTTTGGCTTGAAAAAGGAGAGGGAATGTTATGGAAGCACTTCCAGTATGTGGAATGTCTAGTGATCTTAAATCAGTGTAGTTATATATCTGTGTTTAGATTGCTATGGTAACTAGATGTTCATATATGGTTGTTGATTATTACATAAAATATATTATTCTTGGCTGATTCTCTTTATTCTCTTTAATAAATTTACACTTTCACCGCTGCACATACCGCAGTGTAAGGACTATCAGTGACGCAACCTCTTTGGAATGTCACAAACGATTACTTGACAATTCGGGGTGCATGGCTATTAAATAATTTCGTTGGACAACAAAAGAGCAAGTTTTTAATCTGTGATTATGTGTTCTACAACAAAATGGATATGAAAAAGTAATAGAAAGATTATGTAGTTGGGCAAAACTACCGACTAAATAAATCGCCGTGCTCGGCATCTATTTTTAGAGCTGGCAGTCTTCACTGGAACAGGAAATGCACTTTGGCATTCAAACATAGCGCACCTAGACCGTCATCATGTCTTGGGTTTAAAGGAAAATTATCTATTTTTAAGAGACTTAATAAGCGTGGTTCCTAAATTTAAATTTATTAATCCATCCTTCGCCTCTTACGACACCCACGGGAAAGCAAAGGATGGCCTATTCTATGCAGGGACCACACGGCCAGATATCAGATATGCTATTAGTTTGTTAGCTGTGTCCCACGGTTTCACACGTATAAATTAGCATATAAGTAATGCTATTATAGACGGATGAATGGATTTGAAATGAATTATTTTGTTAGCAAGTGTACCATTGTTCCACCCATAATTATATCAGCCCTTAACCGGCCACTGTTGAACATAAGCCTCCCCCGGTTGGGGTTGCCAGCAGTTGCCGAAAAAGTGTAGCCGTGTGTTACCGGTATAGATTAAACAACGAGAGGGAGGCGGCGAGGGATGATCAGCAGCGTTCTTTTTAAAATATCACCAAATCCTAACGACGGTTGCCAACCTGTCAAGCGTGGCAATTGCTGTTAAAGCTCACCCTTATGGGGAAGGTCTCTGTTCAGCAGTGGACAGTTAACATCTGATTTAATAGAATTTATATATGCTTGTACCCAGAAGAGTGTCAGTGAAAGGTCCGTACCTATCGAAAAGTACTTTCTATCTCTTCACCAGATTAAGCCGCCGCCATACTCTGTGTACTCTGCTGACGATGCCCAGGAAGTAATCAGGAAGCTGTGCAACTCTGAAATCAAGGGACGTGCCATATTAAAATTCTACAATGTCCTTTAAACGGATGCTAATTGATTTTCGATTTGACAAGAAATAAAGGTAATTTGGAAAGCCGTTGTAATCTTGTGATAACGTCTTGTCTATAAGTATTCATACTATCTGTCTATTTAGTTAAGTGGAAAACCAATCTTTTATATATACGTTTTCGTTACTGCACTGCAAAATATATCAAAATATATCATTAAAAAAATATTAGATATTTTAAGACAAATATAATTAGTTGTATAAGATAGTTAAGCATCTTTCAAGAGATCTCTAAATAAACATGTTTTTTGTGTAACCATTTTTTTGCTTTTTTTTTTAATATACTTAGTGTTTAAGAATAAAGTGTCGACTACAGGAAATGAACGTGAATTGCGTTCATATTGAAATTAAGACTTAATTTTGACGACTTCAGTATTTGAATAACTATGATGTTATTTGCATGCTCTGTCACTAAAAATTCTGTGACGAACCTTACTTCAAAATAATTGCCTAACGCTCACCTTAAAACATATGTTTAACAAGCAAGATACACACCACGGTCACAGATAATTTTTAGTTCGACAATTTTATAATTATAAATGTAATAAGTGATATTTAGTTTTTTTATAGTTAGTTTTTTTTTTTTTGTTTTTTCTTTTCTCTTAATATTTTTTAAAGACGTGATTAAAACATGTAAGATAGATTCGAATACATCAATCATTATTCAACATGTCATAATTACGTATTTTTTATTAATAAGTGTTATTAAACCGATGTTTGCTACTAAGATATTGTTTATTATTAAATTTTATGTTTTTTTTCTTTTCTCTTAATATTTTTTGAAGACGTAATTAAAACATGTAAGATAGATTCGAATACATCAATCATTATTCAACATTTCATAATTGCGTATTTTTTATTAATAAGTGATATTAAACCGATGTTTGCTACTAAGATATTGTTTATTATTAGTTTTTGTTTTTTTTTTTTCTTTTCTCTTAATATTTTTTAATACTTGATTAAAACATGTAAGATAGATTCGAATACATCAATCATTATTCAACATGTCATAATTACGTATTTTTTATTAATAAGTCTTATTAAACCGATGTTTGCTACTAAGATATTGTTTATTATTATTTTTTTTTTTTTTTTTTTTTTCTTTTCTCTTAATATTTTTTGAAGACGTAATTAAAACATGTAAGATAGATTCGAATACATCAATCATTATTCAACATTTCATAATTGCGTATTTTTTATTAATAAGTGATATTAAACCGATGTTTGCTACTAAGATATTGTTTATTATTAGTTTTTATGTTTTTTTTTTCTTTTCTCTTAATATTTTTTAATACTTGATTAAAACATGTAAGATAGATTCGAATACATCAATCATTATTCAACATGTCATAATCACGTATTTTTTATTAATAAGTGTTATTAAACCGATGTTTGCTACTAAGATATTGTTTATTATTAGTTTTTATGTTTTTTTTCTTTTCTTTTAATATTTTTAAGACGTGATTAAAACATGTAAGATAGATTCGAATACATCAATCATTATTCAACATGTCATAATCACGTATTTTTTATTAATAAGTGATATTAAACCGATGTTTGCTACTAAGATATTGTTTATTATTAGTTTTTATTTTTGTTTTTTCTTTTAATATTTTTAAGACGTGATTAAAACATGTAAGATAGATTGCTTGTTTGCTGCTAAGATATTGTTTATTATTAGTTTTATGTTCTTTTTTCTTAATATTTTTTAATACTTGATTAAAACATGTAAGATAGATTCGAATACATCAATCATTATTCAACATGTCATAATTACGTATTTTTTTATTAATAAGTGTTATTTAACTGATGTTTGCTGCTAAGTTACTCTCTTAAATGTGATTTTTTTTTTATATAATCTTTATGTTAAGTATACTTTAGTTATATGTTATTGCATGCGGGCAATGCCAAAATAAAATGTTGTATTTTATATTATAAGGTATAATGCGCAGATACAAAAGAGTCCTAGATTCAAATCGTAAAAATGTAATAAAATTTTTAAAAGCGTTTGATTTAAAAACATTAGATTTATTTTTTCGCGCTTTATTTTCAATGTCATTTTTAGTCTCCGATTGGGCATCTTGGACTTTTTTGTATATGAAAATTGTGTGAGTGGTGATGGACAAGCTAAAATTTTTCTATGCTCTATTTGGCTGTTTGATTAATAAAAGTGTAAGAGTTTATGCAATGTGATAAGGGTAAATTATTTAGTAATATTTACGTCTGTAGTATTTCGATGTTAAATAATTAACTTATGTAAGTTAATAAGGTAATCGGAAAATTGTACTTTCTTATATGATGTGTAATGCTAGAGGATGAATATTATATATATATAAAACTAAAAGTAATACAGGAGACTACGAATAGGGGTAAACTTATCAACACACCACATTCAATGGATAAAATATTCCATTAAAACTCAATCAGTAATCTGTCGTGTGCAATACGTGCGAAGTAAATAACTTGTAATAATATAGTATGTTTTTTTTTTTTTGCAAAAATATCCGACTTCTAAAATGAAGAAGAGTGCAATTTGATTTTCAGGTGATATTCTTTTTAACTCTGAACGGTTTACTTCTTTGTACGACAAGGTCAGTAATAGAAGGCGAACCTTATAACTTTTTGTGAAAAATTAAAAACTTTAAATCAATCTACGATATTGAATTGAACATATCTCCTTCAATTTTTGAAGTCGGTGAAAATTAATGAAAGGAGCCGCGAATGGAGACAAAATCTTTCATCTGTAAGAATCTATGAATGCCATCAATATCCAATGTTATTATAGGGTTTCGATTCATCTTTTACCTCTAACATTTAGTGACATGAATGTAGTATTTTCTCGTTTTAACGGTTTAGGCAATTGTCATTAAATCTATTATGCTCATACTATATTGGGGTCTGTATGAGTGTAATAAATTTGGTAAAAATTATCTAAATCGCCTACTGTATTAAAATTAATATTGGATAGCTTGTGACAATATCAAATATTTTGTTTTGCAAAAATTCAGTTTTGATACTGAATTTTTACTAGCTACATTTTATCAAAAATTATTACAAATTGGTTTGATACATTTTGATAAAATATAGCGGGGGCTCAATCTGAATGTATATATACTTTCAGATTAAAAAAAAAAACATCTGAAACGGTTTAGGCGTCTACGAGTAATCGGGGAACATACATAACAAAAATTAAAACTCTTGACGAATCGGAACCTCCTCCTACTTTAATTTGAAGTTGGATAAAAATGGCAATTTTAGAGAGGTTTAGAGAATGGTCCCTCAAAATCGACCGTATTAATTTTGATTTTAGAGGTTGTAGTTACTGCAGAATTAATCCCAATGTAAGCCATATTGAGGCTAGTCGTGAATCTTTATCTATAAGACCTGAAGATATGTCGCTCGACACAACAGTTTTGTATAGAGTCTAAGGTAACATATATTTGTATAGTTTTTAAGGAATCTCATATTTTTGTTAGCATATGGTTGTTATTATAGAATATAGTCACATTATTTTAATTTCTTGTGTTTTTTTTAATACCTTAAATTTTATGGTTTTACACTGCATCTCTATAACGCATTTTTATATTACATTATCCGTTAACTCCCCCATAAGGGGTGTTTTGCCAGTAGTTATCACGCTTGGTCAGGCGGATTGACAAACACTTAGGCTTTAGTAGGGTTGTCAACTTTTTTTTACAAGAAATAAAATATTTTTAGTTCTGAGGCGAATATTAAACTGTAATTTAAAAAAATGAACAGTAATTTATGTATTTAATGTTTTCAATACATATTTTTTAAAAACTTCATATGCCTCAACACAATTATAACAAAAAAAAATAAATGCGGAGCTCTGACTGATTGAAAAATCGTGTGAGCCTCTAACACTTATAGTGTAAAGCATTTTGAATCCTGAAACAGTATTTTGTAGACTTCATTTTTGTTCAACAGTAAAAAGTATAATGTGAAAATCAGTATAATACTGTTTTTAATAGTACAGTTGGCAACCCTAGGGTTTTTTTTTGATGGGTGAAAATGGAATGATAACCCCGCCTGTGCTAACGGGATACGCTGGCGGAGCACCAGTGAAGGGTGATAGATGAGAATGAAAACAGGCCAGTTAGCCCATCATGATGAATTTATCAGGAATTAACCATGATAGTTTCCAGTGGGAACCACGAGGAGGTAGACCTGTTTGGGTATATTGCTAGCAATGGGATTCTCAGTCTCCGTTACTAACAATCCCTTTCCCCCCGGCGACCCTAGGGTTTGGTGATGTTTTAAGAGAGCCGCTGCTGCTCCTCCCTTGATCATTAAGCTTTCTCAGTTGGACACTCACGGGTAAGGAAAGGCTGGCTCATTCTAATATTCAATAAGTAATTTTAGATTTGACATTAGGTACTGTTCATGTCTCATGGAAATGATTAACTGAATCGCTCTTGAGTAAGTGTAATAGGTGTATTATATTAGAAATAAACACAAAAAGACTCAAGTGGACAGCAATTCAAACAGATTGGTATGCTAGAATAGGCCAAAGTAGACAGCTAAGGCCATTGACACGATAGGTTAGATTAGCCTTTCCCAAAGTGGGCGATAACGCCCCCCTGTGGGCGCTGCAGGCCTAAAGGGGGGCGGTAAGAGAACCAGAAAAAAATGGCGTTGTGTAGAGGCTTGGGGGGTGATTTATAGATCTTAAGTATTAGTGGTTTTAAAGTAGGTGAAAAAATGGGGGCGCTAAAAATAATTTATTCTCAAAGTGGGCAGTAGACACCAGTTTGGGTTAGATATATAAGCAATAGCAGGTGTACCTTGGACAAGGATAGCCAAAGACAAAATAGAATGGAAGATTGGAGGAGGTCCTTGTCATCGGACAAGGGAGGTTACTGATTGAAAATTAATTTTATTAAATTGTTTATCATATTATTTAAAGAAATATAAAGACTTACACTGTATGAATGAATGAGTATACTTAATTTGAATTATACAATAAAGGAAATAAGCAAGACAATTAAAAAATAAATACAATTGTTAAGGCGGTCTAATTGGTGAGAGCAATCTTTTCAAGACAACTGGGTAATTGACTAATTGTTGTTCAAGTATGTATGACAGTATTCTATAATTAAGAATGTTACAGAGGCATAATAATAATATTTTCTTTATTATAAATTACAAAGATCCATTTTTGTTAGTAACAATTGACCTAAACTATGTTAGTAGAAAAAAAAATACAAAATTCATTTTATGGCCCCTATAATAATTTTGACCCAGTAAGGGCATAGCCTATCAGGAATGGCAACGCATGAGGGGGCACCATTTATTTATACTTTATACACAAAAAATTACGAACATACAATTTATATTAAATAAGTGCAACAGGTGTGTTCAACTGTGTAAGAGTTCTCTTCCAGCAAACCCTGAGTGGAAAGAAGCATTAATTGCCAACGGGCAGTATGCTTACAATAGGAGGTGGAAACAGTATAGTTGTTACAATTAAAAAACAATAAATATGTTAACATATATACAAAGTAACAGTATATATATATACAAGTATACAGATGTTTGTCTGTGTTCGTTATTTGTTCTGTTTTTTTTTTATACAACTTAGAATGGCAAACAAGCTGACGGCCCACCTGATGGAAAGTGGTAACCGTCGCCTATAGACATGAGCAGTACCATGGAGATAACAGAGTATACTGTTTCGTCCATGATACTCCTCATGCAAATTATAACCCCTCTGTTATAAATATCAGAAAAAATATGCTTTTTTTTTAATGGATGATAATGGAATGGTAACTCCACCCGCACTATTGGTATACACCGGCGGGACACCAGTGAAGGATGATAGGTGAGGATGAAGCAGGTCAGTTAGCCCATCGTGACGAATTCAACAAGAATTGTTTACGATGGTTTCCAGGGGGAACCACGTGGAGGTCGACCTAATAAGGTATATTGCTAGCAATGGGACTGTCAAACTCCATTGCTAACAATCCCTTTCCCCCCCGAAAAACATGGTTTAAATTTAAATATTGTTTTTTTTTTTATAATTCAGAATGAAACGTCTTTAAAATGATCTGTATTTTTCTAATGACAAAATTCGAGGAAAGCATACAATATATAATCCGGGGAGACTCAACAAAAGAAAAGGTAGGAAATCTTGTTCTATAAGGTCTAACTTGAAATCTGGTATATGTTTTATATTGACATGTCATAGAGAAGTAAGTATCTACTTTCAAAATCCACGCGTGCCAAGTTGCGGCCAAAAGCTGGTTAGTAATAAATATAATGTCTAAGATAATGGGACTGATACTGAGGCGCCATTGCTCTGAATTTATCTCTAAAAACAAAATTTCAAGGATCAATATAAACTAATGTTTCAATAGATTTAAGACAAGAATTATTAATCTACCCCCGTATATATAGAAACGTCAAACCTCTCAAACATTGAACTGTTTTGTTTCTTTATTTTGTACTAAATTCTTAATTTGAGAGAAAGTGAGAAAACTATAATAGTTAGAATAGGTTTGTGGGGGGAAAGGGATTGTTGGTAATGGAGACTGAGAATCCTATTGCTAGCAATATATCCAACCAGGTAGACCTCCATGCGGTTCTTCCTGGGAACTATCATGGTTAATTCCTGATGAATTCATCATGATGGGCTAACTGGCCTGTTTTCATTCTTATCTATCACCCTTTACTGGTGCTTCGCCAGCGTATCCCGTTAGCGCAGGCGGGTTTATCGTACCATTTTCATCCATCAAAAAAAAAAAAATTAGATTTGTTCGAGGTTTTACTTCTTAGGCATGAGGGGGTTAGTTTATGAAAGTTCACAGAACACTAATTTCGCGAAGGTATCTAATTAAGGCCCGTTTGGTCCCAGCATAGAATAGGTAACCTTCCTTTCCTTTCCAGTGGGTGTCATAAGAGGCGACTAAGGGATGGGCAGCGTCGTCCATCTTAAAATATCTGAAAAGCCTAACTGCCGTTACCAATCCGCCTGCGTGGCAACTACTGGTAACCCCCCCCCCCCCCTCCCCAGGGGGAGGCTTATGCCCAGCAGTAGACAGTTAAAGGCTGATATGATGATGATAATCAAATTAAAACAAGGTCAAGAGATAAATTTAGAAAACTGACGCCCCAATACCGACACCAATGTCGAAATTAATATAATAGGGGGGAAAGGGATTGTTAGCAATGGAGTTTGACAGCCCCATTGTCAGCAATATGCCCTATTAGGTCGACCTCCACGTGGTTCCCCCTAGAAACCATCGTGAACAATTCTTGTTGAATTTGTCACGATGGACCAACTGACCTGCTTATTCTCACCTATCATTCTTCACTGGTGCTCCGCCAGCGTATCGCGATAGCGCAGGCAGGGTTACCATTCCATTATCACCCATTAAAAAAATATTAATATAACAAAAAAAAAATACATTAATATCCTTTATTATGATGGACAACTCTTAAACCCTTAAATAGATATAGAGACTTCATATTTTTTATATTTGGGTCTACATCCACTTTGTGCTTCGGTTCATAATTCTTTATGCCCCAAATATCGATAACGGAACGGATCTCTTGATTGCTTTCTGCGTGTAAAACTATGAACACAGACGAGGATCCCACGCCGCCATTTTTTATTGTAGCACTAGCACCGCATGACTTCATGGCTAAATTATCTACATTCACATATCTAATCGTGTATCCTGGGAAATAGTTTTCGTACACGTAAATTTGTCCCTCGTTGATCGAAACAGGTCGGTTGTCAACTATAGCCGCGTCCATATGTTGCAGATCGTAACGCCACACGCCCTGTTCGAGAGGGATTTTCGACTTCTCGCAGAACATCCTAGCTTCAGTGTAAATTATTAACAACAGGAGTACAGTATGGTGCATTCTTGAAAGTTAAATGCCTCACCTGCGCCTATCTGCACCTGTAGCTATTGTGTTCGAACAATACGTGGAATAGTGATAAGTTTTTGTGGTTTTTACCGATAAGGCTGTTTGTATTTTATTTTTTCTTATTGGGCATACGTATTTAATGAATATTGCCATTAGCATCTTTCCCTTAAAATTGATCATTTAAAAATATTACTGCTATTGTTTCATGTAGTGTTATTTTGTAGAAAAGTACATATAGGTTTACTAAATATGGCAGGAAATCAATAATTAAATCATTTATCCCATAAAAAACCGACTTTGATTGTGAAAAAAGTCATTTATTTTCACCTAAAAACTAAACTATTGAACTGATAAAATTTGTATTCAGATAAAAAAAAGTATTTTCCAAATTAATTTAAAACTGACGGTGCGTAATGAGGTAACAAACATAAAAGAAAGAAATATATAACTAAATTCAAAACTCCTTTTTGAAGTCGTTTGAAAATTTGCTCAATAAATAAAAGGCCTATAAAAATAATAGACAATAGGTACATATTGGGGGGAAAGGGATTGTTAGTAATGGAGACTAAAAATCCCAATGCTAGTAATATACCCAACCAGGTCGACCTCCTCGTGGTTCCCCCTGGAAACCATCATGGTTAATTCCTGATGAATTCATCATGATGGGCTAACTGGCCTGTTTTCATTCTCATCTATCACCCTTCACTGGTGCTCCGCCAGCGTATCCTGTTAGCGCAGGCGGGGTTACCATACCATTTTCATCCACCAAAAAAAATAGGTACATACTTACTAGTATAAAAGTTTCTAAGAAAAATGAAGCTGTGTATTTTATGTAACATTCATTAAATATGATTGCTGTGCCCTTCCAGGGCTCATGTTGATACTGTACCTCTAATACTTAAGATTACAGAGAGCGACTGTACAAAAGTCGTTGGCTTGGGTACCTCTGTCCCATTCGTATTTCTACCGTGAAGCAGTTGTGTTTGCATGGCTGTTTCGGTTTGAAGGGTGAGATATGGCAGTGAATTTATAGAGTATAGAGGAATAACAGTTGAGTCCTCAGGAATAGCAACGTATTGGAGGTATCATGGGCGAAACAGTATACTTTGTTATGTCCATAGTACTGTTCATATCAATAGGCGACGATTACCACTTTCTATCAGGTGGGCCATCAGCTTGTTTGCCATTCTAAGTTGTATATAAAAAAAGATTATGAAAATGTAATAAATAATTTAATTGAATTAAATAAGTACATATTTAAAAATTTGGGAATTGTGTAAATAAAACAATACTTATATTTCAACGGCACAATTTATTGTAAATTCCATGCAAACTGGTCCCCTAAAGATAACATTTACACTTCCTTAAAACTTAACTACGAGTCCCGTGATCGATTGACGTTGGCAGGTAAAAAGAGTAGATACCATTATGATGTGACACAAACAATGTTCAGTGCGGAAGGAGGACAGTTAAAAAAAAATGATTTACTAAATTAATTCATAGATTTTCAAATCTTTGGTGTACACTTTACGTTTACAAAATTCATGAGACCGAAACAATAAGTACTAGACAGAAAAAAGGTTCCATACATTAGAACATTCCAAAAATGACAGATAAAATTAAAACGACGATAAAAAAAAAAAACACTTTTTATACATAATATCACTATAATATTCATATAAAATACATCTAAACTAGTCCAACCGTCGTCCGTACAGTAGAAACAAAGAATTTGGTCAATCGTACACTTGGTACGTTAAAATTCGAATGGTAAAGAGTTCCGTAAGACATTAAAATACATTTCAATTTATGAAAATACGTCGCGTGCAATACGCGAGTGCGTGCACACAGAGGACGTAAGAGCTATTATGTTAGACGAGCGTAAAGCACAGTTAGTATCAAGTATATATTAACCCTTCTTTGGAAAAATGGTTAAAAAAATAAATTACAGACTGCTATGTTTTTTTTCTGCAATGGACATTAAAAAGGTATCCATACACGATCAACTTAAAGTGAACTTGTTGTTTTGTATAATTTTGGGCATTCAATGTTATGATGGAAATTTCCACCATTACGCAAAGAAGGGTTAAGGCGACTGACTATACACACGCGTTGTAATATGGTGCGATTGACAGCTGACGATTTTATTACACTACTATTGACGTATTAAATAATCATTCAATTCTCAGATCTAATATAATAATATAATAAAAATATTAATACATACATAAACTGTGTGTTCTTAAATAAATAGTTTGTTCATACAGTATTATGGAGAATGAATAATTATATTAAATTAATGCCTATTATTTAAAATAATTATAATTTTATATAGGTCCATATTTTACTTTTAATTTATTATACATATCTGTTAACTATAAGCGCTTGCAACATCATAGTTGTTACAAGCACGTTGCCAACCTTTATTTTATAAATCACTATAAATAAAAAAAAAAAGTCGACAAGAAGCCTGAGCGGTTTAACGGCAAGAAACTCTGAATATAGAAAGCAAAGTCTCTTCTCAAATTAAGAGTCTCGATTCTAATTCTCATCACTGTTAAACATTTTGTCAGTTTTTATAAAAAAAAAACCACTTTTTCTATAATAAACAATCCTAAAATTCTCGTCATAAATTCAATAAAAAAAAATACTACTGTATTTTAATTAAAATTTTTAATTGTCATTGTATATTTTTATGTATTAGTTGTGTATAAAATTATTAAATGAATAAATTAACTTCAGTTTATAATTTTTTTTTATTGATAATTAACTGTATTATGGTGAGAATTTTAGCACTGTATTTATACATCAAATAATAGACAGTCTAACACAATAAAATGTTTGTTCGAAACAGTGAGTTGTTTTGGTAATGTTTTTCTAAATATGTACTTTTAGTAATATATCACTTGCACCATACCGCAACGCATCGTTTACAAATACCATCGAAAATTGAACATTGAGCGCCTCTAGTGGACAAATATTTCTGTATAGTAAAAGTACTTATCCGACAAATCTGTGTAACACTAATACTCGCATTACACATACAGCCTTACAAATGAAAAAAAATTGATCATAATTTTCTTGCAGAAACTGCAGTAGATTTAACAAAAATGCCAACAGTAAGGTTAAAATATACGATATTACTGTTTAAGGATGCTAATAAACTTAACAATTATCATCTAATTTAAGTAGATTACATTTCTGTTCGCGCCAATGTACCGTAGACGTAGACAATGAATTTTTGGCGGGAACAGAACTTTTGTCTATGGCCGCTGTTTACACTTCACTCAGTATTCAGAAGCTTGTTAAGATAAAACTAATAAGTGAATTTATTTTATTAACAGCCACCGTTACGACAGGTAAAAGAAATGCATCCATCTAATCAAGGCCACTTTATGATTTGAGGTTATACTACGAAAATATATTTAAACGAATAGATAACTTTAATCGAGTACAATTGATATCATTTTATCGAGCATGCAAAATCAGATGTTTATAATATATTTGTATAGTTAAATCAAATATCTTATTTAATTAATTATTGTTAAGTAACGTACCAGTAACCCATCATAATACCGAAGCTTATGAACAATTATTCGAGTTATAAAAAAATATCTTATGCTTACAATATAGGGACGGATATGTGCCCTACGGAACTCAAAAAGGCACTTAATGTAATTTACATAAAGTATATATTTAAACATCATAAAAGCAATTAAAAAATAATGCAGGCCATGTGCAGTCTGCCATATTTCGCATATTCTGTTATTGTTATTATGTGTAACAGTTATTTTGTATATATATATATTTTTTTAGGTTGAAAAACATCGAATAATTTGTACAGTTGGCATCACAACACTAGTGTAGTGTATGGGCGGTATTATAATCTATCGTAGGTATGGCAACACGATATTGTAGAAATTTACCGTTACGATATAATATCTCCTATTTTTTTTAAGGATTTTAATGGTATGGTAACACCGTCTGCGCTATCAGTATACACTGGCGGAGCACCAGTGATAGATTACTGATAAGGATGAAAGCAGGTCAGTTAGTTCATTCTGACGTATTCGATTAGAATTAGCCACGATGGTTGCCAGGGTAATATCTCCTATTATATCGCGACGATAAAAATAAATGATATGCAACTGTTGACGTTTTTGAATTTAAGTGAAATTGTCAAATGTAAATACTGACTCTGTGTGTGTGTGTGTATGGCTCTGTATGAGTTTTAGCTGTAAAAAATTATTCGATGTGCTTAACTATACTCGAGATTATTTTGCTTTCATCTATAATTATTTCACTAACATCTTGAGCGTATACAAGGAATGTTAATGTCGTACAAAATTTTATTTTTATGTTAAAATTGTAAAAGTATAAAATAGTTTACATACTTCGTACCAATAGGTCGATTATATGTTAATTCTCTCATTTCATTTTAAATTGATTATTAAATTTATAATAAGATATGAGTGAGTAATCATTACCATTTTGTATATTCTTTACGTATGTTTTTACATAAATGTTCCAAAATATAAATGTGTATAATATCATAAAATATTTATAGCTATTTAGCGAATTATTTACCTATTTATTGTATGGAAAATAAAAAGTAATAAACAATAATACATTTATAATAATCCAAATCATATTTGATTCACCAACAAAATATTAAATATTAAAAATCCATTGCATACGATAACTGAGAAACGGAACAGTACATCTCCCCTCGCAAAAAAAAAAACCTCCACTCTTCGATCGTAGAATTAGTAAAATCGGGTTTGACGTTTGACACTAAACGTCAATTTAGTTGAGTACAGAGTAATTAGATTTTTATCTCTATGGTGACCGAGTTAGTATACAATGTGTCACCTCTCCCTTTCATTCCCGAGTAGTCATAAGAGATGGCAACAGGAACAAAGTACAATAGACGTGTGCAACAGAAAAAAAAAACACTCGAAACCCTGTATCATTTCACGTAGTCAGCGTGGTAACTGTATATATATATATATATATATATATATATATATATATATATATATATATATATATAGAAGAAGACTCCCGTTGCCTAAATATAACGTGAACGGATAGTGAAGAGATTATTTTTAAGAGAGGGGGTATGTATAAGCCAGTAATAAGGGAAAATTCAGGATATTACCAACAATATGAAAACTTTAAGCACGACGGTAAAGTAGAAGGCGATCGGTGGCGAAGTGCGGTGATGGTGACGGCAGACTGCGTGGTAACGGCAGACGCCTGTTACATGTGGATGGTGGCTGCTGTGTAGCGCGCTTCGCCACGTCGCCAACTCCATTGCGACGGTCGGTACTGTTAAGAAGTTAAATAATTTCATAATTTAGTTATGCATTTACCACCATTTTTGGCTTAAATCCATCTTTGTAAGATGGAACGATGTTATGTGTCTTGACCCTGTAATTTCTTTCACCTGCCTTTCATCTATAAATATATATGTAGCATAAAAGCACGATTGTTTAATGGCAGAAACATGTATTTGATAAAAGTAACTCTGCAGTTACAGTGTGTGCTCCGGCGTAGAATGGGCCACTCCTTCCCTTTCTTTGAGTGTCGTAAGAGCAGACTAAAGGAGGGCGAGGAATGGGCAGCAGTGTCTCTCTTGAAACATCTTTAAAGTCTGATTGCGGTTGCCAACCCTATCACGCGGGCATAGTTGGCGTTAAAAGCTAGCACTATGTTTCGGTTTGATATCCCTGGTTTTTTTTTATGGGTTAAAATGGTACGGTAACCCCGCCTGCGCTAACGGTATACGCTTGCGAAGCACCAGTGAAGGGTGATAGATAAGAATGAAAACAGACCAGTTAGCCCATCATGATGAATTCATCGGGAATTAACCATGATAGTTTCCAGGGAGAACCGCGAGGAGGTCGACCTGGTTGGATATATTGCTAGCAATGGGATTCTCAGTCTCCATTACTAAAAATCCCTTTCCACCCTGATATCCTTGGTATTGCAGGCATTCATAGGCTACGGTAACCGCTTACCATCAGGCGGGCCGTTAACTTGTTTGCCATTCTGAGTTGCATTTGTATAAAAAAAAACTAAATAAACAATCACCTTAATGAGAAGTTGTCCGCTGCGCGTGTGCGGATTCTTGAACGCATAGATGGTCCATGCGGCGAGGGCGCACAGTAACGCTACTGTCAACAAAGCCGCCACCACGCCGCCGACCGGCGACCCGGTCTCTTGCAGCGGCTCATTCTTGCTTCTCCACAGCGTTCTACTTGGATACATATTGATCGATGTGGGCTGGTAGTCGACTGTGAACAGTGAGATTTCATAAGTAGCTTGGACAACTATGAAGCAGTGAGTTTACCTATATTTATAAACGACATACGGACATATATGGTAGTAGATACCGGTGTTGTCATATCGTGCGTAAGTGAAGCTACCTATCTAAAATATTTTTGGGAGAAAGGGATTCTTAGTAATGGGGTTTGATTGTTCCATTGCTAGCAATATACTCTAACAGGTCTACCTCCACGTGGTCTCGCCTGGAAACCATCGTGGTTAATTCTAGTGGAATTGTCACGATGGGCTAACTGACCTGCCTTTCATTCTCACCAGTCATCCCTCGCTGGTGTCTTGCTATTGTATACCGTTAGCGCGGGCAAGATTACCATTTCATTATCGTTTATTAAAAAAACGAAAACCTAAGATATTTTAAAGACAGGTGAAACTGTTCAATTTAACTATAATATTTTAAGAAAGTTCAACAATTAAACTGCTTGGATATACAAAAGATAATATTAAATATGGTGATAAAATAATATTATTATGGTATTTTACTAGGCAGACATTCGATCGTAGGATTAGGGATTGAATTTTGGAGTAGGGAGAATATACTATAACCAGAGGGAGACTTTGTACAAAAGTCGATTGCTTGGCTACCTCTGTCCCATTCGTATTTCTACCGTGAAGCAGTTGTGTTTGCATGGTTGTGTTTCGGTTTGAAGGGTGGGATATGGCGTGAATTTACTGGGTACAGAGGAATAACACCTGAGTCCTCAAGAATGGCAACGCATGGGCGAAACAGTATACTCTGTTATGTCCATAGTGCTGCTCGTGTCTATGGGCGACGGTTACCGCTTTCCATCAGGTGGGCCGTCAGCTTGTTTGCCATTCTAAGTTGTATAAAAAAAAAGCAATAATTAAAAAATCCTACAGACTAAAGCATTAACAATGTCTACATATATACATAAATCATACGAGAACAGACAACAAAACAAACAAGTAATTTTATACTTAACTAGTTGAAATTATAGTAGTTTAGTAAACGGGCATTATTTCATAGCACACTGATAGGTTAAACACCTTGGGTTTTGTAAATATAAACCAGAATATAAAAGGGATGAACTAATACTTAATAGGGATAGACCTCCGTTCCAGTAATACTCTCCAACTATCTATCCTCTCCCCCGTACTGATTTCGCTTTAAACTCTTTTCTCCTACATTCTTCACGACTCTGGAACGCGCTTTCTGATACTATAAAGAGACTATCGACTAAACCGTCTTTAAAAAAAAAAAGTTTATTGATCACTTTTTTACTTTATCCGAGCAGTAAGTACTTTATATTATTCTCAATTTCGTGTATAATATAGCATATGTTATATATGTGTAATTATATTTGTTATTTATATATATTTATTTGTTTATATATGTAATTTTAGTATGTATGTATATCAATAATTACTAGTACCACATGCAAGTATTCTGACACTTCCCTATGGTTGACTGGGAGAGAACGTTTTAAGCATTAAGTCCGCCATGTACACATATATGTACTAATAAATAAATAAATATATGTATGTATATAATATATACATATATAATAGTATATAAGTGTATATAATGAGTAGGGATATATATTTTACATTATTACATGTATCACATCTCTATATTAAGAAATAATAGAATTTCATCATGCCTGCGATCAAACTGTTTATAATTACTCCTCTCCATCCAAAGGTTGCCTGGAAGAGATCGCTTTTAGCGATAAGGTCGCCCATTGTTTTCTCATCGTGATTATTTTTTGTAATTGTTTATATTTATAATAGGTTTACTATTGTAATCTTTTGGAGGAAACAATAAAGAGTATCTATCTATCTATCTAACTATATAGTAGGGATTTTATGAAATGTATAGTATATGTAGTAGGGTTGGAACTGGATTTAGTAAGGATGAACCAGGGGGTGAAGAACCGAGGTGTGGTGGAGATGTACTTACTATGGATGACCGCATCTGTTGAGCCCGTGACGTACGCTGTACTGTCGCCGGAGGCGCCCGGTGCGGGTGGCGCCGGGCACGATGCTATATTTGTTACGGCCAACTTGTCACAATCTGTAAAAAAAAAATCAGGGACTTCATTAACCCTTCGTTGCATGATTTTTTTTTATCGGTGAAATAAATCAATGTGACATAATTAATTTTCAAAATTAAAACAAAAATTGTTAAAAAAAAAATTTGACAGCTATGTTTTTTTTTTCTGCAATGGACATTAAAAAGTTTCCAGACACGATCAACTTAAAGTGAACTTGTTCTTTTATATAATTTTTGGGCATTCAATGTTGTGATGGAAATTTTCACCATTATGCAAAGAAGGGTAAGGGGTAATACTCTCTTATATTATTTTAGTTTATTGTTTATTTAATGATGTAAAGGCAAGAATCGGAAAAGGAATATTGCTTTGGTTGGTCTATTAAGAGGATGAAAGAATGGATTAGACTAGACGTAAGAGATTTATCAAGCACGCACGAATGAATAGAGATGTCGGTAGGGGGCGCCCTAGGCGCACGTATGTATGTCGACCAAATAGGCGACGTGCTGAAGAAGGGCCAAATTAAAAGTACCCGTTACCGGCGAGCGTGTATGAAAAGATTGATGAATGTGGAAGAAGCGGAAAAGGTTTGTTTGAATCGATGCATTTGGCGTTCCATTGTTTCTGCCTACCCTAATGGGAGACAGGCGTGACAGATATATATGTATGTATGTATGTAAACATACATAAATATAAGCTGAAAATTAAATCACAAGCGTCTTCTTAAATATTAAAAGGGTCTCCTTTATTATGTGTAAAAATACATAGAACAATTGACGTCACTGTATATACAAGAACGCCCACAATGTCCTTCGTTTTAACGAACAAGCAGACGGTTCAATGGAGAATGATAAATCACAGCTTCGTGGATATGACTTCGTACATCACAGTATATACTGTGACGACCATGACCCATGAAAAATACTTAGTTATATACTTACGTCTTATGGTCCAATCCTGTTTGTTTTTATCAGTGCCACTGGAACATTTCTGCACTTGTGAACACCACGAACACTGAAACAATTTTATATATATTGCTTTATATTTCTTTTTAATACAACGTAATATGTCAAACAGGCTGACGGCCCACTTGATGGAAAATGGTAACAATCGCCTATAGACATGAGCAGTACCATGGATATAACAGAGTATGCTGTTTCGCCTATGATACCCCACATGCGTTAACATACACTGTAAATTCACTGCCATATCTCACCCTTCAAACCGAAACACAGTCATTCAAACACAACTGCTTCACGGTTGAAACACGAATGGGAAAGAGGTACCCAAGCAAACAACTTTTGTACAAAGTCTCCCTCTGGTAAAGTATAGGCTGCACGCCGTGTGGTCCCGGCATATATTTTTATGTATGAATATGGTTTGGTAACCCCGCCTGCGCTATCGGTATACGCTGGCGGGGCACCAGTGAAAGATGATAGGTGAGGATGAAAGCAGGTCAGTTAGCCTATTGTGACGAACTCCACTAGATTAAACACGATGGTTTTCAGGGGGAACCGCGTGGGGATCGACCTGATAAGGTGTATTGCTAGCAATGGGTCAGTTAAACTCCATTACTGACAATCCCTTCCCCCCCCCCTGGAATAGAGTGGGCCACCCCTTTCTTTACCGTGGGTGTCGTAAGAAATGAGTAAGGGAAGGCGAGGCGACTAAGGGAACTTGGTAAAGGGATGGGCAGCAGTGTACCTCCTTAAAACCACTCTAAAAGCCTAACAGCTGTTGTCAAGCGTGGCAACTACTGGCAAAACCCTCCAAAGAGGAGCCCTATGTTCAGCAGTGGACAGTTAACAACTAAAATGATGATGATGATGAGATTGTATAAAGCATGGAGTAAGGAACTTACATTGAACGCAGTGTCGTGGTTGATGCAATCTTGACAGTTGTTGTACTGCATGCAGGTGGGCAGGGCCGTCAGCCTCAGGATCGTGTTGTTTGTGATCAGGTAGTTCTTGAAATTGGCTCGGTGATACTCATAAATGGTCTTGCGGCGGACGTCTGGACATAATGTTATAATTCATTATTTTTATTATATTATTATTCATATTTATTTATTTATTTTAAACTAACGGTCGTAAAACTAAAAACCAAATCTTTTTGTAATATGGATAAAATTATATTACGCCGACCCCAAATGATTGGGATAAGGGTAGGAAGATGATGATGATGATGATTTATTTATTTTATTTATAATAATTTAATATAATTTCAATGTTTATCAAACACAAATCATGCTGTGGTTGCTTATATAAATGTAAAAACAGTGTATTTTTTTTTCTGATAGGTGAAAATGGTATGATAACTCTGCCTGCACTAACGGAATACGCTGGAGGAGCACCAGTGAAGGGTGATAGATGAGAATGAAAACAGGCCAGTTAGCCCATCATGATGAATTCATCAGGAATTAACCATGATAGTTTACAGGGGGAACCGCGAGGAGATCGACCTGGTTGGGTATATTGCTAGCAATGGGATTCTCAGTCTCCATTACTAACAATCCCTTTCCCCCCTCTACCAGTGTATTGTATTTAAATGTTTTGTTGTACCTTATATTGGTGATCTTATAAATAAATAAATTCATTAATAAAAAAAAATATATATTTCTTAACCTCACAATTGGGAATTTTAAATCTTATTAATCATTTAATTATGTATTTTATTATTTATTTAATTATATTATTATATTATAAATGATTATCAGTTACTAGAGGGAGATTTTGTACAAAAGTCGTTTGTTTGGTCACCTCTGTCCCATTCGTGTTTCAACCGGGAAGCAGTTGTTTGCATGGCTGTATTTCAAATTGAAGGGTGGGATATGGCGTGAATTTACAGGGTACAGAGGACTAACACCTGAGTCCTCAGGAATGGCAACGCATGAGGGGTATCATGGGCGAAACAGTATACTTGCTCTATCCACGGTACTGCTCATGTCTATAGGCGACGGTTACCACTTTCCATCAGGTGGGCCGTCGGCTGGTTAGCCCTTCTAAGTTGCATAGAAAAAAATGAGAAAAATTGTAAAGATATTTGTATGTTTATTACTAAATCACGTTTAAATGACTGAACCAATTTGAATGTAATTTGGTACATGTAACAGATATGTATGTATGAACTTACAGAATACAATTTTGTCAGTGATGTACGCGTCGCTAATGCCCACTTTGACTGGGTGCATGGTCTCGTTGATCTGCTGCACCGTAAGCGGTATGTTCTTGTAAGCGAACACTATGTCGCCGTTCTTATACAGTGTCGCCGCGAACGTGAATTTCAACGATGCGTTCTCTTGTAGCGACACGTTTTCCCAAAATGCCGTGAACTTCTCGCCTGGAAATAGAAAACATTAAGAGGAGAATAAAAAAAAAATAAAGAAAAAAAGTGAAATAAAAAATGTTTATTGCCAACCAATTGCATTTACAAAAGAAAATAGAGAAAAGACAATAATATTAATAAATATTACAAAAACTTAACAAAATGTATTAAAACATTAAAAACTCGACTTCAGGTTTTTCTTTTTTTATGCAATTCAAAATGGCGAACAAGTTGACGGGCCACCTGATGGAAAGTGGTAACCGTCACCTATAGACATGAACAGCACCATGGATATGACAGAGTATACTGTAAGTATTAAGTGGAGCAAACTACAACGCATTAGTGAAAAAAACCGCATTCAAATCGGTTAAGCTATTTCTGAGGTTAGCATGCAAAAACGTACAGACAGACAAAAATTCTAAAAAATATTTTTTGGTTTCTATTACGTTCATAAAGCCCCCCCCCATCCCCCATTGATTTGTAAGTCAATACAGATACGTCAGTTGTCCGTCAGTTACTTGACTACAATGACCGTGCCATATGAGGTTTTCTAGTCTACAATGGTTTTAAATCACTCGCCATCATCGCTCATCTTGATGACGCTGTCATTTGTGAGTGTGGTGTCGAAGTTGGCCATGAGTGGCGCTATATACTGTGTCGCCGCGAGCCAGCTGTGCACGTGTTCGCCAGTGTACATGAAGCCGCCAGTTGCCACTGTGATGTTGTTGATAATTTGTCCGTAGAACGGAAACGGAAACTTGAGAAGAACCGTCTGGTGGAGAAAACGAAGAAAGAGAGATTTATAATAGTTACTATATTATGTATTTATTCAGTCATATACAGGCATGAAAATTTATAACATTTTAACCGTCAAAGTTAATACAGTTATTAATAAAATAAAATTAAAAATAAATAATAATATAAATTATTATCTACGAATATATAATAAATTAGCAATAATTAATAAAAAAAAAATGAGAAAAAAATAAGTCTTTTAAAGATATCATTCTACCATTCCATTATAATTTTTTTTATGCAAATTAGAATGGAACGACAACGCCTAAAGACATGAGTAGTGGGCATAACATAGTACACTATGATTCCTATGGTTTCCCCACATGTTGCTATTCCTATGGACTATGGTGCTATACCTATGTACACTACAATTTCATAGCTATGTATGTATACTGTTACGCCCATGACACCTCCATTACCATCTATTAAAAAAAACAAACAAGTCCACACTGGATGTTACTCACGGTCGCTCTACGGTGCGAATTGCTAAGTACGGCGTGCGCGTCGGCTGGCGGCTTTGTGATGTTCGCCCAGTGCTCATTGAAGTAAGTCACGTTGCCGATGAACGAGCTGTTGTAGAACGCATGGTTGTCCTGTCACAGGCGAAACACTTCTTAATACGGGGTCTTCGATATGAGATGCCCGGGGTAAGAAGTTTAAGGGAAATAGGACCATAAAAACTACTAAAAAATGGTTAAATTTAATTGATTCAATTTAAAATTTCCTACAACAAAAGAGTATCTACTGTAATCGTGATAAAATCAGTTATTTTAAATTAAATTACCGAATCGATTTTGATAAAATATCTTTCGAGGTCAAACTGAAAGCATACAGTTTTATGTAGAAAAAAAAAAATATTTTGCAAATCGGTTTATAAATGACAAAGTTATGAGATTATATAAATAAAAAAAATACAATCGAATTTCGAAAACAGTTCTCACCTTTTTTGAAGTGGATTGACATTTATTTATTTTACAATTTAAATAAATAAAATAATATAATAATAAATCAAATAATTAATAAAATAATACAGTTAATTTTAACGAGAAGTGATATAAAAGGAGGCCTTATCGTATAATTTAATTCTTTTTTTCATTATTAGTATACCTACATATCTAGACAAGTGGTCAAGATGCCTATTAACAGAATCATGGTTGTTGACGCATCGCAGGATACCTCTTTAGTCATTATTTAAAAGACCCATGTTTTAGTCCCATAAGTATTGCCTAAATTACTTACATAAGTCAAGCTCGTTAGGTTGTGTTCAGACTTTATCATCTCCGGCGTCTCCTCGAGTATCTCCGTAACGTTTAGACCTGTAACAGTTGGAAATATTTTTTCCTTATTGTGTACTTAATTGTAAAAAGGAATTAGAATGGTTACTTTTTTTTTATAATTTAGCCGCCATCTCTAAAGGAAAAAAACGGAATGCTTAAAGGATCATCTCGTTGTCCGTCCGTCTGTTAAGACCCTTTTTCTTAGGAACGCGTGGAGGTATCAAGTTGAAATTAATATCATATACTTAAATCTGCGATTTCTTAAAGCAGTGAAAAAATCAAGCTTTTAAATCGACGCAATTAAAACATACGGCCGTATTTATGTTCCATTTATATTGCATATTTTGACATTCGCAAAGAGAATAAAACCTAAAGGGTACTTCCCGTTGACCTAGATACAAGAAATTTGGCAAGAAACAATGACATGTAGCACAAGTAGAGGAAAAAAAAATCCAAAAACCGTAAATTTGTAATTATTTCACAAAAAAAAAATTAAATTGATGATTTTGTAAGGAACCCTTGTTGCCTCACAAAAAAACTTTGATTTACACATATGGTATTTAGGATAAAATAAGATTATATTAATACGAAATTTCTGCTGTGAGAAGCTGGTGTCTGGAATAGGTTAAAACCTGTAGTACATTATTATTTCCAGAGGGAGACTTTGTACAAAAGTCGATTGCTTGGGTACCTCTGTCCGATTCGTGTTTCTACCGTGAAGCAGTTGTGTTTGCATGGCTGTGTTTCGGTTTCAAGGGTGGAATATGGCGTGAACTTACAGGGTACAGAGGAATAACACCTGAGTCCTCAGGAATGGTAACGCATGGGGGGTATCATGGGCGAAACAGAATACTCTGTTCTGTCCACGGTACTGCTCATGTCTATAGGCGACGGTTACCACTCTCCATCAAGTGGGCCGTCAGCTTGTTTGCCATTCTAAGTTGTATAAAAAAAAAGTACAGATTACTAGGCCCCCAACTGATATGTGTTTATATAACAATTAAACAAAATACTTTGCTTTCAGAGCAATTTTACTTGAATTTTACAAGTTAAAAAGGAAATCCTTAGATAACATGATTATTGTAAATTGCTATTAATACTCTTGTTATAGATTGCTATTTAACGAGCTTATTAATTAAGATAAGGCCAAATTAAGGCATAATTTCTAATGCTATTAAAGAATAATAAAAAATATAATATAATTAGAAAAACACTAGTACTCTTCCACAAAAGGGTTTTGTAATAAATACTTGACCCGATTTGCGGTTTAAGGATTTTATAGAGGTTCATTTTAAACAAGTTTTATTATGTGCAAATAATTGAAGGACGGCTGGAACTTAAATAAAAATGTGAGTGATTCTACACATTTTCCATTAATTAGTAAAAAAAAAAACAAAAACAAAAATACAAAAAAATCAAATAATTATCATGAGATAATTAAAAAAAAATTTTATGTTACCAACATAGATTAATTTTCTTTTACAATATATTCCCAATTTAAATGAAAGTAACCTAAAGTAATTTAAATTTAAGTGTAATAGTTAAAAAAAGGTTAGCAAAAAAAGTTTTAGTTTTTATGAATACCATTTTAGCTATTTAACTGTTTAATTTTTTCTTATTTTACACTAAATTCCAAATTTGAAAGAAAGTGACAAATCAGTGTAAAAATAGATTCGTCGAGGGTTTTAGTTTTTATGAATAAGAGCGTTAGTCTTTGATGGTCCATAAAAAAGTAATTTTGCGAATCTATAAAATTAAAAAATTAAATTAAGAGATACAGGTTTAAAGAAATGACGCTATAGTATTTTTTTTTGATGGGTGAAAATGGTATAGTAACCCCGCCTGCGCTAACGGGATACGCTGGCGGAGCACCATTGAAGGGTGACAGATGAGAATGAAAACAGGCCAGTTAGCCCATCATGATGAATTCATCAGGAATTAACCATGATAGTTTCCAGGGAGAACCGCGAGGAGGTCGACCTGGTTGGGTATATTGCTAGCAATAGGATTCTCAGTCTCCATTACTAACAATCCCTTTCCCCGATGCTATAGTATTGGCCCCGATATTTAGGTTGGAGATAGGCATAGGGAACTTTTTCTCTCGGTAAATCAGTATTCCTGGCACGCGGATGTTACGGGTTAGTGGTTATACATAATTAATTGCTTATTATTCATAATGGCCGCATAACTCGAATTATATACGGAGGATAATATTAGTGTTCAAGTATATATTACATAATATTCACAACGGTTAAGGCGTGGAAGGACTGAATATTAGAGATGAAACAGTTCACTTCTTAATTGCATATTAAGAACACACCAGTTTTTAAGTTAGACCTTCAGAATTGTAAAAATTGTATCCAATTTGGTGCAGTTATTATTGCATAACAGACATTGCTGGAACAGACATATTAATGGGCAGAGAAACAAATCTCTTAAATCCTCCTAATAGTAATAAAGACTTCTCATATAAATTTATCCTAAATATCTTCCATGCACTGAACCAAAGCAACCGACATAGCCCGAAGGTTCTTTATGTGTCTATCTATGGGGTCAGTCTATGGGGTAGACTTATATCCAGCAGTGGACGGACAATGGCTGAAATGAATTGATAACGATCTTCTATGCACAGACATCGTCTAGAATCCTTATCAATATTATAAATTAGAATTGTTTGTTACCTTATACCGCTTTAACTGTTTAAGCAATCACTATGAAATTAGATATATATTGGAATGAATTTAAATAGTATGTGAAACATAACAGGCAACTTTTATTTCGGTCTCACCGAGCAAATACCCCGACCGGACATTTCCCGGTCAAGCTTAAGTCAAGCAAGTCACGGATAATTTGTTTTTTTTTTTTTAATTTGTCAGATTCTGTTGGGGTTATAATACTGGCTGTTAACACTGAGGTTTTTTAGAACAATGTATTATTTTCAAATTTGTTCTGTGTCAGAATATCATAAAACGTGTCTTGTGTTTTTTTTTTTCACTAAATGTATTATTTTATATCGCAAATACGTATATGTTTTTTTTTTTATTGCATCCTGCTATTTACAACAGATTCAGTACAAACTTATTGTTGTCGGTGACAATAAATGTTTGTTTTTATACAACTTGAATGGCAAACAAAATGTGACGAAACTTTTCTTAACGCGGCCGAGGAAGTGGAAACGGCTAGTTTAAATAAAGAAAATTGGGTATCCACTGTTTAATAAGTTGCTGCAGCGTGAAATAAACTCTGTTACGATGATATAACAATAAATTTAGCTCGCACCATTTAAAATTTAAGTGTAACTAATTAAAGCCGAATCAAATTTCTAACCGCAGTGAAAGTGGAAACTTCGTTCTATAGATGTCAAGTATTGGGCTACCAAAAACTTGTCTGTCTCCCATCCGTTCACCATTAAGTTTCCTTAGTGGCCTCTTACGACACATTCAAGAAAGGGGTGATCCATTCTATCTGAACTGTCAAATCTTAAAATCATTAAACTAAATTTGTAATGTAAGTAGTATATTTATTTATTTTAACATTTATTATATAAGTAAGTATGTATTATATGTATTTATAGTGTATGTATTTATGTAATATTTTATTATATATTTTAATATTTTATTTAACTGTATATTTGTTTATGTATTAATAGTTGTAGCACTTCAGCTGCCCGCTAACGAAATGCATTCTCACTGTATTGAGGTGGGTTGACTGGAAGAGATCTCTGTCAGAGGTAAGTCCACCCTTGCTTACAACATTTATAAATACATTGTTTTATATGTAACTTACAAGTGCAATAAAGAATATATATGTAATTGGGTGGCACATTTATTCCGATATCGTCCATACCGGTTTGATATTGATATTAACTTCGATTTGATTCTCTATTTCGACGTTGTATATTGTATAACAGGTATTGGGCCAATACATAATTAAAATATATAGATTTTGCTATATATTTTGAACCCCTATTTTGAAGTTTATATAGGTCGTTAGAATTTTTAAGAGTGTTCTATTAATTAAATTGAACATTTTTACCATAGAAGCAAGGCATCCACACACGAGAACGACAAATAATTTTGCACTTTCCTACTAATTTAAAAGATGGACGGAGACGTGTGAAAACAATGCTAGTAGAGATATTTCCCACGCTGAGGGAAGGGGTAGTTAATAATGATTCATTATCATCCATTAAGGACGATGATGGTAATATAAAAAACTTGCGTGCGCTGTCCATTTATCCATACCATGGCAAAAAGTTACTTCTCAACTTAGAGCAGCTGGAGGGAAAGGGATTGTCAGTAATGGGGTCTAACAAGCCCATTGCTAGCAATACACCCTACTAGGTCGACCTCCACGTGGTTCCCACTTGAAACCATCATGGCTAATTATTGTTGAATTCGTCACGATGGGCTAACTAACCTGCTTCATCCTAATCTGTCATCGCTCACTGGTACCCCGCCAATGTAAACTGATAGCGCAAGCGGGGTTACCATTCCATTATCACCCATAAAAAAAAACTTAGAGCAGCTAAGAAGTATTTTGAATGTTCAAATCGTTATAAACAATTGATTTACTATTGAATATCAACAGACTTCTATTCTCTATCTGTAATAGAGAATAGAAGAGACAAAATGCTGGGCCACCTTATACGACATGACGATTTTTTTAATAGTAGAAGGAAAAATAGAGGGCAAAAGAGGAAGAGGAAAACCGAGGAATAACTACATGGGACAGATAAAGGAAACACTAGCTGTCATGTCGTATAGGGAGATCAAGGATATGGCCTGGAATAGAGCTGGCTGGAAGAAGATGCATGAATTAGTTGCACCGCCAAGAGGAAACTCTTAAATGAATAGAGATCAACAGACTGCCTTGTAATCGAGTCATTATTTATTTGCTTTTATTTTCATTAAGTTCTATTCAAACTAATTTAAAACTATAAAATACTCACCATCATCCGGCACGATGGGTTCGCTGACAGTAGTCGTCTTCTCCATGACGTCGTGACGGATGCCGGAGCCATTGACCCCCAGGAGTGGAGTCTGGGTCACCACAGCACCAGCGGTCGTCAGTTCTAAAAATAAGCGTTATGCGGTCAACAAAAACGTTTCTGTTGTTAATGACGATTTTAATGCTAATCAGAACAACCTTTGTAGGATTTTGCATTTTAAAATTGATTATTTTCAATCTAATATATCTACGAATATATTACCCTGTGGTCTCGGTACAGAATAGGTACAGAATACTTGGGTTGTCTGGGAGGGATCGCTGTCTGGCGATGGGCATGCCTGCTGTTGCCTCTTTAATATGCTTTTATGTAACTAGTTCTATTTGTATAATTTGGGTATTCATTTTGTTTTGAGTGCTTGAAACTGATAGAAATTAACTTCTGACTACCCTTCTTCTAAATAGCGAGTATAACGAACGCACACTATGTATTTGATCTATATTTCTTTCTTTTTTTATTTTTTTTTTTTTTAGTGGTATTTCGCGGCTCACTTTTGGCCACAACAGAATATCAGTGTTTTGCTCTTTTTAGGGCAAAGCAAAAAGCTGAGTTGTGGCCATTTTGCATTACTGTGGCACACGCATGAAGAAAAAAAAAATTATTATGCATTCTGATTTTGTTTTTGGTTTTTTTTTTTTTTTTTTTTTAATCTTTTGTACATGTATCTTTTTTATCTTTTTTCACATTGCTTTTGTGTCTTTTGTTTGTGTGCTGTAAGTTATGCAAATAAATAAATAAAAAAAAAAAAAAAAAAAAATAGCCCACCCCTTGCTATCCCGTGGGTGTTGTAAGAGCCGACTAAGGAAAAGCTAGGGATGGGCAGCAGCGTCCCCCTTAAAACATCTCTAAAGCCTGACTGTGGTTGCTAATCCGCCTGGCAAGCATGGCAACTACTAGCAAAACCCCTACATGGGGGGGCTTATGTTCAGTAGAGGACAGTTAAAGGCAGTTTAAGTTAATGATGACGATGACATTTACGAAACATATCGTCGTTCACAGAAGTATATTGAAATAGTTGCTTCTTCACTTATACCGAAGTATATTTTAATTTCATATTATTAAGATCTCTGCCCTAAAATTAGCAGAACCAAATGGATACAATTTTTTGCCCGACCCGGAGATAGAACTTAGACCACAAGGCCTCGAACCGGTTCCAATTCACTGAGCTAATGAAGTCGCGAATATTATAAGGTTTAATGTTCCGTATAGACACGAGGGCATTAACCTCGCTAACGCTTACTGTGTACGATAAGGCCCGATAGTGATTTAAAAACCAAGCGTATATTTAGATACGCGTCAATGGGGTTCCGTGACGATATTAGAATTATAGAGCCATGTATTCTCATGTTTTTTTTTAAAGGATGATAATGGAATGGTAACCCCGCCTGCGTTAACAGTATACGCTGGTGGGATACCAGAGAGGGATGATAGATGAGGACATGACAGGAGGAAAAGACAGGTTAGTTAGCCCGTCGTGATGAATACACCTGGAATTCAGTATGGTGGTTTCCAGGGGAGACTACGTAGAACTCGACCTGACAGGGTATATTACTAGCAATAGGACTGGGTAGTTTGCATTACTAACAATCCCTTCCCCTCTGTATTATCATGTTAGTGTTACGCAATAATAATCGTATATTTATTTTCTTATCAATAATTCGATTGGGCCACAAATAATCTATCAATATATAGTGCAATCAACAATACGATATTATCGATTATAAATAAGATCATATTTTAATACAATCTTATTTATAATTTTATAATAAGACTATAAATAAGATTGTAAATGACTATGAAAATCTCAATTGAGAATGAGAATATTTTATTCAAAGTAAACTTAATTACAAATATTTTTTAATAGTAATTTTTTTATAATTTTACCGCCTCTTTTAATTTTAATATATTATAGCAATGCAATTTCAGCTGAAAAGTACGGACAAGGAACATAGCTGTTCCTTTTTTCGTAGTGGTGGATAAAATCGTAAATGACATAAGTTTGTATAATTATTATTTTGAATTAAGAATAATTTATTATGGAATTATTCTGAATGATCACTATCGATTAATTGATCATCGAATATTAGGCAATATTATATATCGGCCTAACATATAAGCAAGGTTACTTTGTGAATATAGTGTAGGTGGATAAAGAGAGAGAACTGTTTGAATCGAAGCATTTGGTGTTCCATTGTTTCTGCTTATCCTAATGGGAGACAGGCGTGACAGATATGTATATAGTCTGTATTTCTTTTACTTGGCATATTCAATAAAAAAAAATTTGTAAAATAAAATATAAAAATAAAATATCAAATGAATTCGAAAAACCTTTTTTTAACTATTTGTTTATATCATAAACTATTACAACGATAAGATAAGCCAATATTGTTTACTAATTGAACTATATATAGAAAAAAAAAAGACAAACATAACACGGTTCAATTAACTATAATTTTAGATTATAAAGTTACAAAAAAAAAATAGTAAATTTTACGATGTGCATAATTTCAGTTAATACAATTTCATTTACCACAACTAGACTTTATACTAAACTACTCTGAATGTGTACTTCTGTACTACCCGTATTTTTGCCGTGAAGCAGTGTAACATGGCTGTGTTTTGGTGGGTGAGATACGGCTGTGAAATTGCGGTCTACGAACACAAAACCATAGTCCTCAAGCATAGCAACGTTTGCGGATAGATATGATGAGTTCACACAGTATTCTGCGACGTAGATGGTTCTATTCCTATCAATAAAGCGACGGTTACCGCTTTCCATCAGGTTGGTCTCTAGCTTGTTTGCCATTCAAAGTTTCATAAAAAAAATCAATATTTATAACACACGTAAGCAGATAACGATACACGTATTTTATAATAGTAACGATTAAAAATAAATACAGGTGCAACAGCGATGTTTAAGGTCGTACAAGGGTAATAAAAACAGAAAAAGAAAAACGACTTGTAGTAACATGATATTATTTCGCTTTGCAAAAATTATTACGCATTTACTTCATATTATTCGCAGTTTATATTTTATAAAATGCTATTTCTTACTAATATTATAAATGAGAAAGTTAATTTGTTAGCATACATTATTGCTCATTAACATTTTAACCCATTATTATGAAATATGGTATATATGCACTATATGGGGTGGAGGACATAGGCTTTTTTTATGCAACTCAGAATGGCAAACAAGCTGACGGCCCACCTGATGGAAAGTGGTAACCGTCGCCTATAAACATGAGCAGTACCATGGACATAATAGGGTATACTGTTTCGCCCATGATATCCCCATGCGTTGCCATTCCTGAGGACTCAGGTGTTATTCCTCTGTACCCTGTAAATTCCCTGCCATATCCCACCCTTGAAACCGAAACACAGGCATGTAAACACAACTGTTTTATGGTTGAAACACGAATGAGACAGAGGTGCCCAAGCAAACGACTTTTGTACAAAGTCTCCCTCTTGTAACATTTTTTTATTCCTGGTTACTCGAACGTAGTCTAGAGTAAAAGCTAGTGAAAATAGTATATCCAATTAGTATTGTACCAAACGATATAATTTCGCCATGATGCAATTAAGTTAAATGTTGCACGAGATATGCTGAGACACGTTTTTTTTTTACTACAAAGGTGGTGAAGAAGTATACGGATGGCTTGATGGTAAACGGTTGCTATAGATTATAAACGCTAGCAGTAGCAGAGAAATAGCGCGCGCAACGCCGACCTTGAATAAATCTCGTCTACAGGCGAAGGTCGCCATTTTTGATAATTGTTTGTTTGCCATTCTAAGTGTAACAAAAAAAAAACTCCTTTCCATTTTCTGCAGAACCTCATACAGTATTCATACATACAATTAAAAAAAAAATCATCCTCTTCTATCCTATCGACAATTCTACCGAAGGTAAATTCTGTAATAAGAGTCATAACTCCTTATTGGTGTAGAATTGCAATGTATGAATGCAAGCAGTGGGCATAATACGTTTCCATACAATATTTTGTAATTGGCATAATTTTTAACCGACTATGAAAATGAGATGTTTCTCAATTCGTCTTTTGTAATGTTACACTATGTATTTGTAAATTATGAACTATATAACTGTCTCAGTGGGATGAATTTATAATTATATATATATATATATATATATATATATATATATATATACACACACACACACATACATGTCTTTAAAGCTTGTCGCCATCATATCGTGATGACTAGATGACTAGACAATTTTATAAAAAACAAAATAACGAAACAAATATAAATCAACAATGTATAAAAAATTAATTCCTAGTAATTCTTAGTAAATCTAGAGATTAGCTTTACTATTGTCATGAATGTGAAATAAATTATTTTTCTTACATCGTGGTACCAATGGTTCACTCAGAAAATTTGGTATATGATTTAAAATCAGAAAGTACATACAATATTATTTATTCCGGTCATAAGAACAAGGTAAATAAAAAAATAAACACCAGTATTCATTAATAAAAATACTTAAAAGAATAACCGCAAGAATATTAATAATAATTCGCTTCACAGATAACATAATGGACTCGCATGCTTTGTCAGAAAGAAATGATAAGTACATAAATACATAATTAAGTTCGCATTAGTCAGAGGCCACAGTACAATTAAAAACAGTGCACAATAACTCGGTTAGCCACAGATTAAAATATTATATACTAAAAATATATCCGATAAACATTTAAGCGCTGTAGTGTAATAATGTTCTTTGTTCAAATTAAAAAAAAAGGAGGTTATCAATTCGGTTGAATTTTATATTTGATTATATTTGGCAAATTCATTTTTATCTTAAAAAATATTCCTTCAGAATGGTCCTTTATAAATGTTATCAAAATCGGTTCGGTAATTTAGTTTTTAAATTAAAATAACTGGTTTTGTCACAGCTGATGTCGGTTTCTTTTTTTATGGAACACGATATAATTATTTCAACCGACTTCGAAAAGTGGAGGTTCCCAATTCGTTTTTCTTTTCATGTTTTTTACCTCAACTCCGTCAGCTGTAAGCCGATTTGGAAAATTATTTTTTTACTCAAA